GCCTTCCGGCCCCCATGCGGGCAGGTGCCATCCCCAGAGGGCCGCCCGTCTCCCACCCCTGGCGAAAAGCTGGGGCTGGGCGGGAGGAGAGGGGAGCCTGCTGGCTGGCCCGAGGCAGGGGTCTGGAAGTCGCCCCCGGCCCACGGGCCGCCACAGCGGGCCCGACGGGATGCGTCCAGGGCCCTCCCATCTGCGTGCTGTCCACAAAGCCTGAAGTTCTTTCCTCAGAAGGCCAAACCCCCCTGAAGTGCGGGCGGCGGGTAGGGGCCACGGCTGGAAACACGCCCCTGCTCACGGAGACGAGCTTCCTGGTGGAACCTGAGTGCTGGCAGGGAGGGGCTCGCAGCTGCGGAGCCTGGGCGGCCCCCAGGGCCGGGGCTCGCAGCCAGCTCAGCCCCGACATAGTGACTGGGCTGCCGGGCTCAGCGACCTCAAGGCGATCCCCTCTGGCCCTGCCCTCCCTCCTTGGGCCCAGAGGGGGGCCGTGACTGTGGTGTTGCCCAGGAGGAATCCGGCGCCCCGCCCAGCACAAAGCCCCCTGCTTCCAGTGGAGCCACCGCCCACGGCCCGGCACGTGGGATCCCACGGCACACGGCATTTCCTACAGGACCCGAGCCTCCATGAAGTCAGACAGAGCGCGCCCAGAGCCTCCCTGGGGGCCGCTGCTTCCCGACGGGGGAGACGCGGCCGACTGTGTCCACGCCAGTGGGGAGGCCAGGCTGATGGGCACGGCCTCCACCCTCAGCTCGTGACCCCGACCGTCAGAATGGGACTCGCGTTCGGATGGGTCACTGAGAGGAGGCGGGTCTGTTCACGCCCGCCGACTGAGAAGCCCAGGGACGGCAAGAGTGACCTGGGTGGGGCCGCAGCGCCGGTCAGGAGGTGGCAGGGCCCTGTCCACGCCGAGCGCCCTGGTGGCCTCGGCACCTCCACCTGGTCCCGGTCCCCGGTCCCTCTACGGTGACGGAAGGGTCTCCCAGACACGCCTAGACCAGGAGTGGATGGCTCTGCTCATAGTTGCGTTGGAAAACAGTTCACTCGCCCCGTCTTCTTCCTCACAGTTGCCGAGAAACGACCCTCAGCCCTGGCCGGAGGAAAGCACAGGTAGGTCTGGGGCCAGCGCTGCCCTCTGAGCGCGTTCGTTAACCGCCCTTTTTCTGTGACTGTGGCACCTGATGGAAGGGAGTGGTGACCCCCACCCAGCAAAAACAGCTCCACAAAGCTCGGAAACAACTAGGAAAGCCAGTCCAAGCAGATAAGGGTTTTTGTCTTTGTTTGCTTTTTGTGTTGGGGCCTCACTCTGTCGCCCAGGCTGGAGTGCAGGGGCAGCATCCCGGCTCACAGCAACCTCAGCTCCCGGGCCCAGGCGATCCTTCCACCTCTGCCTCCTGAGTCGCTGGGGCCACAGGCACGCGCCCCACACCCGGCTAAGGTTTTCAGGTTTTGTTTTTTGTAGAGAAGTGGCTTGGCTATGTCGACCAGGCTGGTCTCGAACTCCTGGGCTCAAAGCAACCCTCCCGCCTCAGCCTCCCGAAGTGCTGGGATGACAGGCGTGAGCCGCCGCACCCGGCCTCCATTTTCTTATCAAGAGAAATATCCTTCACATCACACCGTGGCAGTCCTGCCCTCCACACCCCCCGAGACGCTGCTCCGGCCCTGGGTAAACGCATGGACCCTGCTGGTCCTGACACACCGCGGGGACGCCACGGGCCCTGCTTGAAGGACACATGGCTCCTGCTCAAGGCCGGGGCGGCCGTGGGCAGCCCCGGGAAGGCAGCCATCCTCTGGGGCTCGCCGTCCTGCCAGGCTGTGCCGGCTGCTTGGGGGTGCAGAAGGTCCCTTCTTCCTCTCAGCAGAAGGGCAAGGACCTGGTCCTGGGTGCAACCTCTTGGTGGGCTGCCCCAGACCCCGCCTGGGGTCTGGACGGCTGAGCTGCCTGCACCCTTGCAAGGGGAGGGGAGGGGTGGAGGGGTGCAGGTAGCAGTGGGGACTTTGTGTCAAGGCACACACCACCCTCGGGGACACACCACCTCTGATACAAGCCACTTCCAGGGACACGCCACTCCAGGGGTCATGCCATCTCCAGGGACACGCCGCCTCTGGGTACATGCCAACCCCAGGGTCGTGCCACTCCAGGGGATATGCCTCCCCCTGTACAAGCCACCCCCGGGACCTTCCACTCCCATGGCATGTCATCCCAGGGACACGCCACTCCAGGCAACATGCCACCCCCAGTACAAGCCATCCCCGGACCCGCCACCCCAGGGACATGCCGCTCCAGGGGACACACCACGCCCTGGTGCAAGTCCTCTCCGGACTCCAGGGCACACCCCTGCGCCTTGCAGGCCAGGCGAGACCCAGCTGACCCTCCTGGACCTCTCCCAGTCCTCTCCTCCCCCCACCCTCCGGTCCGGGAACCGCTGTGCCTGCAGGTCGGGCCAGGCAGGGGTGACCTCTAGTGGCCAGCGCCAGCCACTGCCGCCGGGAGCCGCCGGACCCAGCCTTGCCCCAGACCTGGGCCTGGGGCAGGAGGGGCGCCCCGGTCTCCGGCCCGGCCCCAGGGGAGACTGGCCTCCCTGCGTCCCGGAAGGCATCGTGGGTGCTCGGGAAGGGAAATTATGGACCTGCAGTAATTAAAACATCCAGGTACTGACATAGAAGAGTCATATAGACCAATAGAATAGAATAGGGAGCCTAGAAATAAACTCACACATATATAGTCAGCTGATTTTTTTACAAGGGTGCCAAGAA